CTGATGGTTCACATTAGAACACACACAGGTGAAAAACCGTACTGTTGCTCAGAATGTGGGAAGAGTTTCAGACAAAGAGGTTGCTTAGTGTGCCACATGAAAACTCACACAGGAGAACGGCCGTTTTCCTGTCAGATATGTGGGAAAAGTTTCCGGCATAAATCCAACTTGTTTGTTCATGTCCAAACTCACAGTGCTCAGAAACAACATTCATGTAAAACCTGTGGGAAGTGTTTTTCCCTGCGTAAAAATTTGATGAAGCATACGAAAACGCATTCATCTGAGAAACCGCATTGTTGCAGAACATGTGGGAAATGTTTTGTTGTTCGCCATAATCTGAAGCAACACATGAGAACTCATGAGGCTGAGAAGCCATATTCCTGTAAAACATGTGGGAAAAGCTTCAGGCACAAACAGGTTCTGGAGTTTCACATGATCACGCATGCAGAGAAAAACCTTACAGCTGCTCCAAGTGTGGCAAAGGTTTCAGCCGGAAGTTCATCCTCGTGAGCCACAGCAGAACTCACACAGGTGAGAAGCCCGTTTCTTGTGAAGTGTGTGGAAAGAGTTTCTACCACAAGTATTATTTAACGCGTCACATGAGGTATCACTCTGAAGTAATCACTCAGCATCATCCCTGTGCAGAATGTGGGAAAACTTTCAGCCGCAAAGGAACCATGTTGCGACACATGAAGACTCATACAGGTGAGAAACCCTATTCCTGTCCGGAATGTGGGAATAATTTCAGTAGAAAGTCCAACATGTTAGTTCACATGAGAACTCATACAGAAGAGAAAGCATCTCTGTGTACAACGTGTGGGAAGACTTTCAGACAAAACAGTAATCTGTTGGTTCACATGAGAACCCACACTGGTGAGAAACCACATACATGTTCAGAATGTGGGCAGGGTTTTAGTAGAAGGTATGCCATGTTGACCCACCTGAAGTCTCACACAGGGGAGAAGCCTTTCTCTTGCAGAATGTGTGGGAAGAATATTCGTCATAAGAGTAACTTGTCACGCCACATGAAAACACACACCACAGGTAGATATGTTTTGGAATGATATTAGCAGGAAATGGTTTCTCTTCTGTTTTTCCTGTTTTCTCTGACAGCAGGAAAAAGAAACCTGCAGGATCTTTGGGAAACTGATATGTTGAGACGATACGGATGAACGCTTCCTTTGAGTTTTGCTGACATCTGTCCAGTTAACCTGATGCTAAAGAGAAAACTCCTCCATGTGTAAGCTAGCTGCAGTGTTGTGTAAAAAGTTAAAATGTCTTGTTTAATCTGAGTGTCATTAAACGGTTCTTCAAGCGAAGCCTGGTGTCTCCTGGTTTTCTCTCTGGAACCAAACATGAGTAAAACCTCCAGGACGGAGCTGAGTCAGAACCTGGCAAGGAGGATGGGGCCCAGAAACTGTCCCTGTCCAAGCGGGCCGTGTTGCCACTGGACATGAGTGGGGGATTCTGTGGGGAATCTTTCCTTCCCTGACAATAAAACCTGAGCTGGACCGAACAGAACCTGCTGTTCAGCAATGGAAGTGGTTAACGTCTGCTTTGAAATGATCTGATTGGACCCTGGAAAAGAGAACCAAGGACCCATTCAGTAGCAGATCTACATCAGACTAGAGAACCGAAGGTCAGAGGTCATCTTGACCGACAGGAGATACTGAGGCTAGCTATAAGCAGTGAGGAGTGATGGACATGTTGGACAGCGGTTCTGTTGGACGTTTGGACCAGAACCTGACTAGACGGAAGATGAAGATCAACGAGACCCTGAAGCCCATGGTGACGAGGTCAGCCATCGTCTTCAGAACCGAAACTGGTGCTGGTCCGTTTGTACTGTTTCCTTCGATGTGTCAGAACCACATGAAAAATACTGCAGAACCAGAACGGACCGGCAACACGTCCTGCTCCTGCTGTGATCGATAACGCGGTCCAGCAGTGGCCATATTGGATCAACAGGACAGAGCTAGCATGCTATGCTACCTTAGCAGAACTCATGCAGATGGTACTGAGGAATTTAGTCCAATTGAAACCAGATTTATTACTAAATATTGAAGCAAACCCAGAAACCAACTATTTTCTAGCTTATGATCAGATGACAAGATAAAACTTCTGTCAGATTTTAAATGTCTGTTAGTAAACAGGAAGTTGAGTCAGTGATGAGGAGGAGGAGGAAGAGAGGAGGAGGAAGAAGAGGAGGAGGAGGAAGATGAGGAGGAGGATGAAGAGGAGGAGGAGGAGGAAGATGAGGAGGAGGAAGAGGAGGATGAAGAAGAGGAGGAGGAGGAAGATGAGGAGGAGGAGAGAGCTGGTCTGTTCCTGAACTCTAAAGAGACTCAAACTTCCTCCTTCAGCTCAACTCTCCAACATCAACTCTGCTCAACATGCTGTCTCTGCTCACATCTGGATTCACTCTGCTGGTTCTGATCACTGGATCAGGTTGGTTGGAGTCTTTCAGAGAATAATCTCATCCTTGTTGTTCTTCACTTACATCAGTTCTTTCTTCCTTCAGGTGTAAACTGCCAACAACTCACTGCAGCAAAGACTGAGGAGTTCAGTTCAGAGGGCAGCTCTGTTACTCTGACCTGCAGTTACTCCAAAGGTTCAGCTACTTATTATTCTGGTATCGACAAAATCCAGGAAAACATCCAGAGTTCCTGAAGTCTCACTCACCTTCAGGTGAAGCAGAACATCTGGACAGGATGACATTTATAGGAAGCAAAGAAGAAATGTCCATGACGATCTCCTCTGCTGCAGTGACAGACTCTGCTGTGTACTACTGCGCTGTGACGCCCACAGTGACAGGAAACACCAGAACCCTGAACAAAAACCTGCAGTACTGCACAGCAGCCACTAGAGGGCCTCACTCCCTGTTAATCCACTAAAACCTGCAGTACTGCACAGCAGCCACTAGAGGGCCTCTCCCACTGGTTGTTGAGTCGTTGGACTGAAGACAAAGACAACAGAGACATGAAGCAGCAAAGATCAGAGACGGAGCTGCTGAGGAAGCACAAACTCTCTGATTGGTTGAGTTGAAGTGGCCCCGCCCACTGACCTTCAGCTCCTCTAATGACATCATTTTTTCCTTCTCCATCAGTCTCCACTTTTTCTATAACTAATTACTGGAGATAATCTCTGGTGACCCGTCCAGGTGACCACATTGGCGATGGATGGCATCTCTGCTGTTAGAGAAGGACAACTCGTCCCACTCAGCTGCTGCTAGGAGACAATGTCTCGTCTCCCATCCTCCACTGGTCCAAACTGGTCTGACCTTCAGGCTCCCCGGTTTCTGTTCTGGATCAGATGTTTGGGTTCCTCCAGAACCATAGAGCCCGGCCTTTCCTTAAAATCATGAACTGGCAGCATGTTGAGGACCGGTTCAGTCCAAAAGAACCCGGTCCTTGTGGAACCATGGCTCTGTCGATCTGCCAGCAGGAGGTCGCCAAGTGTGACATGGGCTCAGAACCAATTGGCCAAAACCAGAACCAGATTCCTGTTCTGGACCCGACCAGAACCTTTCGAACCTCCTAACTGTCATGGGCTGTTTTATGTTAAAACCATCTATGGCAGGTGGTCTTAGCATAAAATCAGTTGTTATCTGTAATTACATTCCAGAGTTGTCACAAGCTAGTTTCAGATATCTGGAATGTAAGTTATGTGAAGCAGATTTTGTTGCCATAAGGATCCAGGTTTTATCCAGCAACTGATGACATCACAACAGCACAGGCTGATGATTGGATGATAGTGAAAAAAAGGAAGACCAACCAATTAGTGTCCAACTTCTCCACAAACTTTATTTCTAGTGATGTTCTGCAGCACAGAACCAGAACATCTAGAACACATACCAGAGCTCACATGAATAGAAACATAGATGCTAAATATTAGAACAGGCACATGATGGAAAACATTCAGAGTCCTCTAAAGAAACTGGATGGAATAAAGTTTGTAATATTTGAATGAGTGTCTCTGGAGGAGCTGCTCCAGCTTGGGTTCCAGAAACCCAGTTTCCACTGAAACGGGTCCAGAACCAGAACCGAACCTGCAGCTTCTACTGGAGCATTTCTCCATGGTAACAAGCTGGTTACCATGGAGACCAAGGCAGCCTGTGGGCAGCCATTGCTGTCTGAGGAGCGGCAGAACCGGATCGGTTCCGATCGGTTCCGATCCGTTCTGCCGCATCAGGATCGGTTCTGATCCGTTCTGCCGCATCAGGATCGGTTCTGATCCTCCGATCGGTTCTGCCGCATCAGGATCGGTTCTGATCCGTTCTGCCGCATCAGGACGGATCGGTTCTGATCCGTTCTGCCGCATCAGGACGGATCGGTTCTGATCCGTTCTGCCGCATCAGGATCGGTTCTGCTGGGTCCAAAGTCCTGATGAGCTGAAGCTCCAATGCATCTCTTGATCACATAGAAAACACTGAACTAGAACTGATATTATTACACTGAAACCGGTTCCGACCCGGCTCCGGCCCGGTTCCGACCCGGTATCATGAAAGTCATTTAGTAGAATTCATCCACCATGATGTTTATGGCATAAATAAATATTTTAGTGTCAGCAGAACTCTGCTGCGCTTCAGTCTGTTGCTTCCAGAACCTTCTGGTTCTGTTCAGCTGGCCTGCCACCGCGTCACGTTCTGGGATGGGTTTTCTAAGGTTCTGTTCTCTGTACCTGGACGTCAGGTTCTGGTTCCCAGCCGGGTTGGGCCGTTCATGGCTTTGTGAGTCCAGAGATCCGGTTCATCTCCTCGCCGTCTTCTACACTTTGTTGCTGTAGAGGTTCTGCTGCGGGAACCGACCCGTCAGCCGGTGCTGCTCGGTTCTGTGGGAGTCCAGGCAGGAAGGGGCGGGGCTTCACACCGATGAGCGTCCTCGGTGTTAGCATAGTGCTACGGGTCCGGGTCGGTTTGGTTCCAGCTTCCTCCTGTCGATGCGCCCTGAGCAAGGCACTTAAGCCCAGGTTGCCTCCTGTTGCCTGGTTCTGGTGTTCTGGTTCAGTCCATTGGCCTCAGAGACAGGAACCCAGATGTCAAAGTAAACGGGTCAGAAGCAGAACCTGGTTCTGGTCAAATTAGTGTCAGCAGAGCAGAACCACTTCAGGCGGTTCCGGCAGATTTAAGCATCGGTTCCAAGGGAGCCGATAGAATCGGACGTCTGGTTCCCCTGACCTGAAGGTGCGCCGGTTCTGGTTCTGGGGTCCATTCAGGGCTGGTCATTATTTACATACATTTAAACCAACATTGGAGGTTCTCCACCATCTGGTACCGGAACCACGGCTCAGTTCTTCAAACCTCTTCAGAAGTAGAAGAACTTCCTGCTGAGCCTCAAACTTTGTAAATATCTGAATCATTTTTCCGTCTCCGAGTTGAATGATGAACTTAGAGCTCTGCAGCTAGAAGCCTACAAGCTCACCACTCTGGTCATTCGGGTCCAACTGAACCAGAACCAAAACAGTTCTGCTCAGATGCAGGACAGGCGGTTGGTGATCGTTGATCCTCCGCTGCAGTTTGAACATCTGGACTTGGAGGAACCGGAAGACTGGAGGTTCTGACATGTTGATCCGGAGAACATGAACAACTCAGTAATGATGGTTTAAGAACATAATTATATGATAAACAGGTTTGCCGTATTTATCCCTTTCTGTGGTGAAGGTAGCGCATGTCGCTATGCTAACATTGTTGCTAACAGCGCCGTCGTTGGGCTAGATGATGTGAAATGAGTTCTGGTTCACCTGGGCCCCAGAAACCCCTGCAAGTCCATTTGGTCTCAGAACCGGGTTCATCAGAACCGGGTCATCAGAACCAGATTCAATGCGACTCATTTTGCAAAGGATAAACTTGATATTGTTGTCGGGTCTGGACCTGGACTCTATGGTAGATCTAGATGTCCTCCTCTATCGGAGACCTAGACCTCTTCTCTCGGGTCCAGTCCAGGTGAAAGTTCTTCATGTGACACATGAGGTGGCTGGACTGCCGGAACGTTCTGCCGCACAGCTTGCAGGAGTACGGCTTCTCTCCGGTGTGGGTCCTCATGTGGTAGCTCAGCCCCGTCCCCCGACTGAAGGTTTTGTCACACACCTTGCAGGTGAAGGGTTTCTCTCCGGTGTGCATCCTCATGTGGATGTTCATGGCGCTGCGCCTGACGAAGCCCTTTCCACACACCCTGCAGGGGTACGGCTTCTCGCCCGTGTGGGTCCTGACGTGGCAGGTCAGGGTGTTGCTCTGGCTGAAGCGCTTGTGGCAGATGTGGCAGGAGAAGGGCTTCTCGCCCGTGTGCCTCCTCAGGTGGCGCAGCAGGTGGCTGTTGAGGCCAAACTTCTCCCCACAGATCTGACAGGGGAAGGGTTTCTCCCCCGTGTGGGTGATCATGTGGCGGAAGGCGGAGTCCGCCGGGCGAACCGCCGTGCACAGCTGGCAGGAGTAGGGTTTCTCCTTCTGGTGGGTGTCCCGATGGTCGTGGAGCAGCAACATGTTGGAGAACCTCTTGCCACACGTCTTGCAGACGAACGGTTTGGGTTCGTCGGAGTCTTCGGACTGCTGGGAGCTGCTGGGTTCTGGTTCGCTGTGCTCACCCTCGTCGTAGTTCACCGTCACCACGAAGATGTCGGCGTCCGCTCTCTGTCCGGCCTGACTGGACCAACGTCTTCCTGTTCCTGTTTGATCTGAGGACGGTCCGGTACTTTCAGGTCCAGACTGAAGTTCTGCTCCTGCTCAGCCAGAACCTCCTCCCCATACATGTAGTTCTGTTGGATTTCTGGAGAAACAGGTCACAGAAATTAGCGGTGAGCATTGCTAACTGAAACGTTAGCCGCACCAATTAAACATCCAGAACATTTTCATTCAGCTTCACTCATTAATCCCACAGATGAGTAGCTGCAGTTTAAAAGCCTGTTATAGACGAGTTAGCATTAGAGCTAACGTAGCTCTAATGCTAACTTGGACCCAACAGGATCCAGAGCCTCAGTGACCTTTGCTGTCAATCAGTGCTACATGAAGAAAGTGAAACAAACTGGATTGAAAAATAAATTCAAGAAGCATTTTAAAAGTAATCAGCACAGATTTCCTTCATCTCAGTGATCGATCGATGCCTCCATGTGGAGCCGATCATCCACTGAGCTTCTCTCCACTAGCAAAGGTCTGAAACAGGGGAGTCAAACTCCAGTCCTGGGGGGCCCAGTCAGTCCTGGGGGGCCCAGTCAGTCCTGGGGGGCCCAGTCAGTCCTGAGGGGCCCAGTCAGTCCTGGGGGGCCCAGTCAGTCCTGGGGGGCCCAGTCAGTCCTGAGGGGCCCAGTCAGTCCTGCAGCCTTTAGCTGAGCCTCTGCTGCACCTGAATAGAATAATGATGTCATTCAGGATCTGGAGATCTGATCCACAGCAGGAGGTCATGAAGCCGTTTCGTTCCTGTGACTCGTCTAAAACCTGCAGGACTGCAGTTTGAGACTCCTGTGGGGCGACCCCAACTGGTCCAGTTGGGGTCGCCCCACAGGAGTCTCAAACTGGTTTAACTGATCCAGTTGGAAGCCTACCTGCTCGGTTGTCAGAACCTGGTACCGGTTCTTCGGTTTTGGATTTTCTCTGTCGAGGCACGAAGGTATCAAACTCCTTCCTCAGCAGCAGGCCCTCATCATCGTGTCGAGTCCAGAATTCCACTTTCCTGGTTCTGTTCTGCGGTTCTGGTTCTTCCAGGCCGTGTTCTGGTTCTAGAAGTTCTGGTTCTTCCAGGTCATCTGTGATCTGCGGACTCTCCGGGTCGTCCAGGTACTCGTCAAAGTCCAGGTATTCTAACTCGCCCAGGTCGTCTATGATCTGCGGCCGGTCTGGTTCTGACAGAACCTCCTGACCGTCCAAGTTCAGGAAAGGTTCTGGTTCCTCCGCAGCTTCTCCTGCATTTGCTCCTGGTTCCGGCAGAGTCTCTGTGAGCTGTGCAGGTTCTGGTTCTTCTGGGTCGGGTCTGATCTGAATGTGGTTCGGTTCCATTTGCTCCTCTTTGATGCATAGAGGTTCTGGTTCGGCCCGGTCCAGACTGCAGGTACTCTCGTAGCCCATTAGAACCTCCTCCTTACAAACGTGGTGCTGAAGATGTTCTGATGAGACAAGAAGGAAAATCATCACCATCCTGGTACCAAAGACTCGTTACAGAACCAGAACTGTTCTCCGACCCGGCATCATGCTGAGCCGATTTCACCAGAACCCGACCAGAACCAGAACATCCGGGCTCCAGGACCTGAACTGATCAGCTCTGACCAACAAGCCTTGATCTCCAGATGTCATAGCAACATCTGTAACCTTTGACCCCAAGTACATGGGATACAACAGCTCCAGGTGCTTTCATGCGTTGCCATAGCGACCATGTTCCAGCACAGACATGGGATGTCATCATGACCAGATGATGTCATCATGACCAGATGATGTCATAATGACGAGATGATGTCATCATGACGAGATTATGTCATCATGACCAGATGATGTCATCATGACGAGATGATGTCATCATGACGAGATTATGTCATCATGACCAGATGATGTCATCATGACCAGATGATGTCATCATGACCAGATGATGTCATCATGACGAGATGATGTCATCATGATGATTCTGATGGCTGTTACTGTCTGAAGCCACTTATTGTGGAGGGTCAATAAACCGCAGTGACTTCCTGTCTGCTGCACAAATAGGATTTATTTATGTTTTCAAATTTTCAATAAGCAGCAGGTTCTGGTCCAGGTTCTGGTTCTGGTCCAGGTTCTGGTTCTGGTCCAGGTTCTGGTTCTGGTCCAGGTTTTTGTTCTGGTTCTGGTCCAGGCTCTGGTTCTGGTTCTGGTCCAGGTTCTGGGAGTTTTTCCGAACATCTGCCAGAAAACTTTAGAAATTACTGATGAAACTGAGCAACATTATTATTACAGTTACTAATCATGTGGACCCGGTCCAAACTGCGGTTCCTACTGAACCGAACCAGAACCAGTAGTACCGTTCCTGGTGGAGAACCCCCTCCCCGGTCCGGTCGGACCCAGAGACCCAGCAGAACCTACCGATCCTGGTCAGCCGGACCTGCGGCTTCAGGCACAGCGCCAGCAGCCTCCGCTGCGCGTCCAGCTCCTCCTGGAAGCGGCCGACGGTTCGCTCCACCTCGGAGAAGATCTCCTCGGCCGCGGCGGCCAGCCGGTCCCGGATGAAGGCTCTCAGAGGCTGGACGGAACACATCGCTGCTGCCGCGGCTCGGACTTTCCGCTCCGGTCCAACAGAACCACCGTCTCTGCCTCTCGGGCCGCACAAAGGAAGCTAACTGTTAGCAGCGGCTCAACTTCCGCCGGACCCAGGGCGAGAGCTTCCGGAGGGATGCGTCAGCGCCGCCGCCATCTTGGACGAGGAGAAACGGGTCAACGGTATTTTAGAGACGACAAAGAAACGCAGTTTGGACCGAAATAAACGGGTTCGGAGCTTTTTCTAAACAAAAAAGCTTCTCTGCTGACCTCACAGCAATAAAGAATAAAAAACGAGGTTATCTCAGCCGCTGATTGCTGCCTGAAGAGCCTGACTGGAAGGATAAAGTTCATGTGAGTGAAAGCAGCAGCAGCAGATCCTCCAGGAGGATAACTAGTTCCCATGCAGATCAGTGATGATTCCGCTACCCTCCCCCTCTGGCGCAGTCTAATTCCTGCCACCTGTGTCCCATTATCTCTGCTTCCTGTTTGTTCCTGAGCTTCCCCCCAGCCCCTCTTCCCCTTCCTCTCATTGTGCAGACATGAGCCCGCTGAGCTCCCGTAGAGGCTGGGCTGATTTCAGACTGCAGGCTCTGAGCTGGAGGCCGGATTGGATCTGAACAGAACCAGAGAAACATCCTGAGAACCTGACAGGAACTGAAACTGTAGCCACTGATTCTCCTCCATGCTTCCTCTGATCTGGACCGTTAACAACACCGAACCAGAACTTCAGCTCATTAGTTCAGCTTATTTTCTAATACTGAAACAGAAGACGCCCCGGCCTGGCTCCCAGCATGTTTCACTCATCATGCAGATCAGAAAGCTGAGATTGAGCTGCTCTCATTGGAACACCATCAGCATGTCTGCTGGCCTTTAACTAGACCACTTCATGAAGCAAATGGTGGGACCTGGGTTAGGGTCCATACGGTTAAAATGGACTTTCAGTTTTTATATCTAAAAACTGAAAGTTGGGAACCATGTTGTAGGCTGGAGTGGAATAAACTGGAGCAGAACTGGTTTAAATCTGGCCCACAGATATCAGTTTGTTTTCTTCTTCACACTCCAGGGCTACTTATGGAGTCCCACAGGGTTGTGGATCGGTCCAGTTCTCTTGCAGTTGGTGAGATGATGGGCGGAGCTCCACCCACTCTGGGCGGAGCTGGCAGGAAGCAGATCTCTGTCCCACTGAGTGCAGCAGCAGAGTCTCCTACAGACTGCAGAGCTGCTGGACTCCAGCTGTGAACATCAGGACCAACATGGAAAACCTGGCTCTGATCTGCTTCTTCTGGGCTCTTTTAGGTCAGTTTGTTTCTGAGCAAACTGACCTAGATCATTGCAGATCCAGGTTGGTTTCCTTTCTGAACATGCTGTTTGATCCGCAGGTGAAAGCTTGGAAGCTGATATTACTGCCGTCAGATCTGAAGTGTTTTCATCAGAGGGAGGCAGAGTCACTCTGTCCTGTAACTATTCAGTTAAAGCCGAAAACCTTCAGTGGTATCGACAAGATCCTGGATCAGCTCCTCGCTTCCTTCTCCTGATCACTGATACTAAAGATCCAACTGTGGTGGAAGCACAACCTCCGAACCCTCAACTGACTGCAGGACTAAACAAGGAGAGAAACCGAGTGGATCTGCTGATCTCCTCTGCTGCAGTGACAGACTCTGCTGTGTACTACTGCGCTCTGCAGCCCACAGTGACAGGAAACACCAGAACCCTGAACAAAAACCTGCAGTACTGCACAGCAGCCACTAGAGGGCCTCACTCCCTGTTAACACACTAAAACCTGCAGTACTGCACAGCAGCCACTAGAGGGCCTCACTCCCTGTTAACACACTAAAACCTGCAGTACTGCACAGCAGCCACTAGAGGGCCTCACTCCCTGTTAATCCACTAAAACCTGCAGTACTGCACAGCAGCCACTAGAGGGCCTCACTCCCTGTTAACACACTAAAACCTGCAGTACTGCACAGCAGCCACTAGAGGGCCTCACTCCCACTGGTTGTTGAGTCGTTGGACTGAAGACAAAGACAACAGAGACATGAAGCAACAAAGATCAGAGACGGAGCTGCTGAGGAAGCAGAAACTCTCTGATTGGTTGAGTTGAAGTGGCCCGCCCCTGACCTTCAGCTCCTCCAATGACATCATTTCTTCCTCCTGCTGCAGTGGATCATTGTTGATCTGCTGTCCTCTCTCAGTTTAACTTTAGGACAGCTCCTGTGTCTCGTCTCCTTCAAGAAGGTGGACAGATCACAGACGGCTGATTACAGAACCACTGCTACTGTCACATGCCAATGTGCCTTAGGGCAAGGCATTTAACCCTAGGTTGCATGTGAATGTGTTTATTGGTGCAACTCCAGGTCCAGTGGAAGACGAACACATCAGCATTTCTTTGCTCTCCTGGAGAGACACAGAAGAAATGATCAGATTTTTACGTTCATCTCTTGGTGGAAACGAGTTCACTGCTGAAACGGTTCGACAGCAAAAGGGTTTTTAATGCAGTGATTATTTCTACAGACTGAATGTCATCAGGACAAGTCTGTGGATTCTTTGAATACAATCAACTGAGTCTAAGATAACACTGATGTTGTCACCCTCACTGTCAGAATAGACTTAAAATTCCCCACTATAACCATCTTCTTGGTATTTAACTCTATATCATATAAATCTGATCTGAAAATAGAGTCAGGATCTGGTGGATGATGCAAAGCTGCTTTGCAACTGGCCATCAGTAACTGGTCTGGTGTCAGATGAAGCTACCGTCGGTCTGAGTCTGAAGGAGGAAACAAAGAGAAAATCAGCAGCAGTTAGAGGTGGAGTGAAACACAAGCAAAGCAGACTCATTCCCATCTCGTTAGTGCGGGGGACAATGAACGGGGACATTTAAGGCCAAGTTACAGTGGACTGTATCTGTTCAAGCTGCAGGATAAAAATGACTAGTGAGTGTTGATGCACAGTAAACATGTTTACTCAGTGATTAAACTGCTGAGACTCATTTAAACTAAAACTGAAATGTTTAGATATGAGTTTGATTCAGAGTCACAGATCTAATCTCTGGTCCACCTTTACAAAACCTAAGGCTCTAAATAAAACATGTCTTTATGACAAACTGCCTCCGGTTTCAATGATACCTTTGAGAAAAACAATGCTGTCTATAAAAATAATGGAACCAGTTATGGTAGTTGTGATTTAAGGCATAACAAGGAAGTTCATCATAATCAGCCTAAGTAATAAAATAAACTGAAGTCTGAGTTTTCTTATTTTTTCCTGTTGAGCAATTAAAGTAAATTAAATGTTTTATAAATACTTGCTTTAAGTATTTACTTACTGGAAGGTTTGTTGTTTGTGCTGCAGAACCACAGCTAGCGGCTAACAGTTAGCAGCTAACAGTTAGCAGCTAGCAGCTAGCGGTTAGCAGCTAGCCGCTAGCTGCTAACCGTTAGCAGCTAGCCGCTAGCGGCTCTTTTCAGCAGCTCTAATGAAGCCGGTGTCCTGACGATCTGAGCTACCCCGTCAGATTTCCCTACCGCAGCACGGATCGACAGCTGGCTCTGTCTGTCCGTGCTACCCGTCTAAAGCTGCTACCGCCATGTTTACAAACAAACTGCAGCGGCTTGTTAATGTTCAATAATTGGATCATTTAGTGACTGGAAGCTTAGCAGTTCTGGTTAGCTTAGCATTGAACAATTGATGTGATGATGAAACCAGAAGCAGATCACTTCCTTCATCTGAATATCCTACCAAAGTTTGAAATGAAAAGCTGCAGATGCAGCTGATCCTTTCCTACAATATCTAGCTGTTAATATCTGAGACACAGAGGCGTTTGTTAGAATAAAACCGGATCAGATGGAAACAGCTTTTATTGGAATTAAACACTAATCCAGATCACTGGAACGGTTTTTGTGCATTAATACTTTATATATTATCAGCATCAGCCACAACGTGTCACTGAAATGATGGGATATGATTCATATGCACTGATATTACAGCTTCACATCGTATCGCTAACATCTATTTAGCAAGTTTAGTCGACAAGAGTGGAATTAAACTAACATATTTTAACGTATAGGGACAAAAAACCAAAACATATTTAGTCCTGATTAACCACCAAATAATAACTTGTTTACAGTAAGGACAGTGCAGAGCAAACTAAACCATCATTCCATTGACAAGCTGCTAGTAATCCAGCTGCTTCATGAAAGAAAATCAATGAAATAAAGATTATTGTCATCTGTGATGAAATAAAACACCTGAAACTAAACTTCCACAGGCAGGACGGATTGAGAAGAAATCTGCTGACTCAGCAGATTGTGACTGCTGACTCAGCAGATTGTGACTGCTGACTCAGCAGATTGTGACTGCTGACTCAGCAGATTGTGACTGCTGACTCAGCAGATTGTGACTGCTGACTCAGCAGATTGTGACGTCGTGTCAATGCATAAGGTAGGATGGACTGACGGGTAGCACAGATAAATAGAACGCCTGTTCTGTTCTGCTGTGGCACTTTGGACTGAACTGTTGTTCTAATAATACCAACCTAAAGATTCATCCTTAATTTTTAGATGAATGGCAGATTTATTTCATTCTTTGTTTCTTTTGGTTTAAACACAAATGTTTCTCCAAGACTTTTCCAAACCTGGGCGATTTCCTCCCATCGCGACTGTTCAACACTTTCATTTCACTTTAATTACTTATCTTTCATGAAACATGAAAACAAAATGAAAATGTCTCAAAAAATTGGTTTATTATTTAATTCAAACTAAAATAAAATATAGTCCTAAAGAAAAGTCAAAGGTCAGTTTTATTCAAGACTCATTCAGGTTTATATTTTATAGGAAATGCTGTTTGCACAGATCAGAGGAATCTGCTGCCTGCTCTGAGGAACTTTACTTCCTGTTACTCCTGATGCCGTCTGCTGTCAGGAGAGCAGATGTTCTTCTGCTTCGGTCTGCTGACTGAACCCCCTTCATGGAACCTGATCAGAACATCTCAGACCTCCCGATCAGATCATCTGCTAATCACTGATCTGTGTCTCCTGTCCTCAGGTTCAGACATGTCTTCTGGCAGCAGCCCGCGGTCTGAGGATCAGTTTCTCTGCTCCATCTGTCTGGATGTGTTCACTGATCCAGTCAGCACACCATGCGGACACAACTTCTGCAAGACCTGCATCACCCAGCACTGGGACGGAGACGGCCCCTACAAATGTCCTCTGTGTAATGAAGGTTTCACCTGCAGACCTCAGCTGAGAGTCAACACCTTCATCAAAGAGATGGTTGATCAGTTCAGACATGAAGCTCAGCAGGGAGCCAGCAGCAGCAGCTCGGAGCAACAAGCTGCTAAACCAGGAGAAGTTCCCTGTGACGTCTGCACTGGACCCAAACTGAAGGCCCTGAAGTCCTGCATGGTGTGTCTGACCTCCTACTGCCAGACTCACCTGGAGCCTCACCTGGCCGCTCCACGTCTCCAGAAACACCAGCTGATGGAGCCCATGGAGAACCTGGAGGACAGGATGTGTCTGCAGCACGATAAACCTCTGGAGCTGTTCTGCAGGACCGACCAGACATGCGTCTGCTCACTCTGCTCTGTTTCAGACCACCAGAACCACCAGCTGGTTCCTCTGGGAGAAGAATCTGAAGGAAAGAAGGCAAAGCTGAGGAAGACGGAGGCTGAAGTTCAGGAGACGATCCAGAGAGACGACTGAAGATCCAGGAGATCAGAGAGTTGCTGAAGATCAGTAGAGATGCTGCAGACAGAGAGAAAGCAGAAGCTGTTCAGGTCTTCACGGCTCTGATGGAGTCTGCTGAGAGACGCCTGAAGGAGCTCCTCAAGGAGATCCAAGGCAAACAGGAAACTACAGAGAAAGAGGCTGAAGGCTTCATCACAGACCTGGAACAGGAGATCTCTGAGCTGGAGAAGAGGAGCTCTGAGCTGAAGCAGCTCTCACAGGATGAAGATCACCTCCACCTCCTGCAGAGCTTCTCCTATCTGACAGATCCTCCACCTGTCAAGCACTGTGTAGAGGTCAGAGTTCATCCACCATCATATGAGGGCACTGTGGTGAGAGCTGTGGCTCTGGTTGAGGAAGACTTCAGGCAGAAGATTAGCAAGTTGCTAGCAGAAGAGCTGAAGAGGTCCAGCAGTTTGCAGTGGATGTGACTCTGGATCCCGATGCGGCTCATCCTAACCTCATCCTGTCTGGTGATGGAAAACAGGCAAACATGGAGATGTGAAGAAGAATCTTCCAGACAATCCACAGAGGTTTTCTCACTGTGTTTCTGTTTTAGGACAGCAGAGTTTCTCCTCAGGCAGATTTTACTTTGAGGTTCAGGTTAAAGGAAAGACTAACTGGGCTTTAGGAGTGGTTAGAGAATCTGTTGACAGGAAGGGAACCATCAACCTCAGTCCTCAGAAAGGTTTCTGGACTTTCTGGTTGAGAAATGGATATGAGTACAAAGTTGGTGCTGGACCTTCAGTCCGTCTGCATCTCCATCCTGGTCCAGAGAAGGTGGGGGTGTTTGTGGATTATGAGGAGGGTCTGGTCTCCTTCTATGATGTAGATGCTGTAGATGTGATTTACTCCTTTACTGGCTGCTGCTTCAAGGAGAAACTCTACCCGTTCTTCAGTCCTGGTCTTAGTGATGGAGGTAAAAACTCATCTGCCCTGATCATCTGTCCTGTTCATCAGACTCATTGATCTGCTGAATCTTGAGAGG